TTCTGAGTTCATATATTTTGTTTTCTTTTTCCTTTCTAACTTAAGTGATATCATGTGAAGAGACATGGTTGTGAAGTGGGACATATTTATTCCTGGAATCTCAGGACTGATAGACAGTTAGTACACACATACCAAAAAAAAACAGTTCTAGTCAGTTACTTGTATCTTAGAGGCCTGTCTTTCCACCTCTGGGCCTTTTTCCAGGTGAAAGGCATGACCAAGGCAGATGGCTAGGTGAGCAGACAGGCCAAGAAGGAAAAATGATCTTCCTCAGAAAGTTCCCACAGGCTATGAGGGGAAAAAAAAAAAGCTTCAAAAGTACATTGAAGTCAATAGTATACGTATTGAAAAAATAAAGTTTGTTTGGAATCCTGACACATCATATACCATAAAATGTGGTTCTAATACTCTGCTTCCCTCAAGGCAGTTACTTCACAGGGAAGTGAACAACTCAGGTCCAGGGCAGTTCTTGGTGGGTTGTGGCGGGCTCCTCTTGGTTTGTACCTTCAGACCTTGTTGGCTTAGCGTTCTGTGGAAATGCAGTTAGGGACCTAACAGGTTGGTGATTGGGACAACTTTCCGTTCTTTGCAAGTTAAAAGAAAACAGCTGATTAGAAGCAGCAAGGCTGGGGACTGTCAGCAGCAGATATGAAAAGCAGCTGGAAGAGTGAGCAGACAGAGTAGACACATAAAATTGTTATGAAGTAAACAAGAGACGTGGAGGAATAGACCGTCTAGGTCTGTTTGGTGTCAGACAAAATAGTCCTATAAGGCTTAATAGCCTTTGAAAGCTTGCAACTTTTTAGTATATAAAAGGGAGAATTTCTGTTGAAGAAAATGTTTTGCAGTGACCCTGGGTGATTCAACCTGGGTTGAGGTGTAGACATCAGGCTCCTTAGGTCTTCTAGCAAACAGAATAAGCTTGCTTTTGTGGTGGAATCAATTCCCACCCTTTTCTTCTCCCCAGCCCCATTTTAGTAGTTGAATAAGTTTCAGGAGAAAATTTAAGGCCTTGATGTAATCTTTAGGATACTTGGAGTAGCTGAGTTGAAGACCCCTTGAAAAGAATGCCACTTGAGTGATATGCAGTGCTCATAATGACTGAGCTCATAATGACTGTTAAATGCCCTGCACTTAGAAGATTTGTTTCATTGAGCAAGAGCGCCACACAGGTCCCTTTTGAGCTCCTACCCTCTGAATGATTCCTGCTATGTCAGCTGTTTACTTGCCTGTAGGTAATTGTGATTTCTAGCTATTAGTTATCTCACACTTTGATTCTTCCATTGTGCCAGGTGAAAGTGTCAGCAGTGACACAGCTCTGGGCTATAACAGCGAGGCAGAGCTGTCCATGAGCCCATGGCAGACCTGTGAGGAGGATGCAGAACTAAACACTCCTACAGATGTTGTGGCTGACTCTGATGCCCGCCATTGGTTACAACTGAGTCCCACTGATGCTTCAAACTTAACAGGTAACTGTGTCTTTGAAAAGGAGGCACTAGTACTAACAGTTGAGAGATCCTAGAGTTTCCTAATTGAAAGAACTCTGGGGAGTTGATGATGCAAGTGCCGCCTCCAACCAAATTGGTCGTGGCAGACCCAACTACCGGTTCATAATCAGTGGTGAATTCTGAGCCGTGTATGGAGAGGGTTCTAAAAAAGTGGCCAGATAGCGGAGGAAGCATGCCATGCCTACAGCCACTGTCCACCACAGGAGGAAGTGATGATCCTTCAAGCCTTTGTCATCCCTCACCAAATTTGCTTTACTCTGGAAACAAGTGATTTATCCACCTTACAAAGGTTATCAATCCAGGATAAGTTTAAGATTTCGATTAGCTTACTGATTAATTTTTTTTTGAAATTTTACTATGAAATACTTGATACATATAAAATAAGTTGTGACATATTTGTAAGTTATAGGCTACAATAATAAAGTGAGCACCAGTGAGCCTACAACACAACTTAAAAAAATAGAACAGCTCCTAAACAAGCGAGGTTTCCTATAGCGCCTTCTTAAGTTTCTCTCTTCCTCCTGTCATCCTGTGACCCTATCTCAAAAATTTATATAATAACTCCCTTGATTTCTTTATAATTTTACCACATATATCTGTGTCCTCAAGTAATCAAATATATCGTATTTTTAAACTTATAAAAAATGGTGTCATACTCTGTATCTTTGCACTTTTTCTCCCCTAAACATTGTATTTCTAAGATTCATGCATGGGCTATAGAGCCAAACTTTTTGGGTCTTCCTTCAGGCTCTGCCAAGACATTGCTGGGTGGCTTTGAGCAAGTCACTTAATCTCTCTGTCCTTCAACCTCTTTTATGTAAAATAGGGATATTAGTCTCTACTAAAGGTTATTGGAGGAATAATTGAATGAACATATAAGGGTAGTGCACAGAATAGTGTGTGTGGAAGCACTCTGCAGTTTTAGCTCTTCACATGCACGCAGACATACACATGCACATGCACATTGGTTGACCCTTGGTATGCAAGCCTCATAAAGGCTCAGCTCTCTTACCTGTGTGACAGGGCTGATGAGAATGGAAACACCAAAGAGGAGTTGGATATTTGTTTTGCTTTGTTTGTTAAGTGTCAGGAAAGACGTGTTCTGAGGAACTCACTGTGGGAAATGCTGACCACAGCCAAGTCCTTCCTGGTCTACCATAGTCATGTTTACATGTAGATATCTTTCATGAAAACAAGCTATAAAGTATATGTGTTTAATAAAAATGTTATTAAAATGCTAAAAAATTATTTTAAAATTATAAATAAAGGCAAATGTTTTACCTTAGTTTTTTTTTTTAACCCAGCAAACTTTTGTTTTTATTATAATATAAAATTTAATCAAAGTCTCTAATATTTTGGAAATTCTTGATGCAGTAACATTAAAACTTAATAAAATTTACATAGAAAAATGGATTCGATAAAATCTTTTATCTGTAAGATAGGTAAAACCAAGAAGTATGATCTTAATATGTATTTAATATGTGCATATTTTAATTAAGAATAGAATAATAAACAAAGAAAAACAGACCAGTTGGCTATAAGTGAATAATGTATTGCCTTATAATGCTGTAGTGCTGTCCTTAAAAGACAGTGGACATTTTTGGTCTGTGTATTCAAAACTGCCAGTGGTAGAAGCCTTGCAAAGGCAATGAGAAAATGGTTGTCAAAATCATGTGCTTAGTTTTATAAATTATTTGGTATCAATATGTACTTCTCAAATTTTGTGTTCTTTTTAAAGTGATTTAAAATTCTTTATATACATATATATAATTATAGATAATCATTTTGAATAATAACATTTTAAATTTATATGAGATTTAACAGTTTACAAAGAACTTTGAATCCTCTTTGATTCCATATGGTAAGCAGGTCAAGTCTTACAAATTCTGTTTTAGAGATGGGAAAACTGAGACCCAGGGAGATCTAGTTGTCTAGCTAGATGATAAGTGCCAGAGTTGGTACCAGTTTTTAAAGTGTTTAGTCTCCAGATGCAGTGTTATGTGTACTCCTTTCCACTATGTTGCTGTTAAAATTACAGCTGTAAAACCCTTCAAACTATTTGAGAATCACTAATGTATTTATGGAATAAATAGCTTCTTTGGGCCCAATATACAGACTACCCAAGAGAAACTTATTGTTGTGGTACTATTGAAGGCAGTACTGCACCTTCAACAAGTTGACTTATTTAAACAAAAACTAGTTTTAATTATTTTTATTGAAAAGAAAGACAATTGGGTGATTACTTTTTTTGTCCGTCCTTTGGAAAGATTAGTTTTGATCTCATTTCAAAGTATACGTGGGACAGCTCGCTTTAATAAACTTGCGTGAGGTAATTTTATATGATACACTCTCTGTTGTGATTAACTCCTCTAAATAGTTAGTTCTTCTTTGAAATACTAATATAAGTCAGTACACTCAGTTCAATAGTTCACCTTGTCATCTGTGAAAAGGAGAAACTGTAATATGGTAAGGTTTAAGGATTATCACAGTTCTGAATTTAACTTTCTTTTCTTAAGAGAACAATTTCTTTATAAATGTACAAAACAAAACAAAACAAAAACAAAAACAAAAAAACCCCTGCATGTTAGCCTGACCTTTAGGACACACAAAGAAAATGATCAAATAATTTCAGTATATCTCTGTTTCTCATTGAATAATCCTACCAACAGTTATCAAATGCTTAGAACAATAAACCCCTTCTAAAATCTCAAATTCCTTCATGACTGGCAAGCTAACAATTTAGTTTTATATTTGCTTTCTTATTTAAATCATTTCATGTTTGCTGAAAATAACAGCTAATTTATTGTGCTTTGTTTCAAAATGTGCCTGGCATTTGTTTTAATCAGGTCCAGTAATACATGCAGAAATGGAAATGATCGTCATGAAGGAAGAAATTTATACTCACAGGTGCCTAGAAACAGGAGGCGTGGGGTTACACAGGGGAGGATTGTTTGGTCAGGAGGCAAAGGGAAAGGGGAAAGCATGGGCAACAGCCTTTGTTGTCATTTCCATGAGAAAGGCAAAGCAAGACAGGGTAAGCAGATTTAGGATTGGCTAGTCTGAACAATTTCAGCAAACTCTGGAGCATAGATGCTGTCCCTGGTTGCTCTGTACCTGGCCCTGGAGTGACTATGGCAGGTGAGTATATTAGCTTGATGTGGAAGAGCTGGATAAAGGAGGTAGCTGGGAGGTACAGCTGTGGATTGGGTAGTTTGCATATGAAAGGTACACTTCCTGGTTAAGCTGTTTACTATCTCTAAGAATTAGTAGTTATCCATGGAGGGGCAGTCCCTTCCTGGTCTGGAGGCACCAAATGCCAGAGCATCAGGAATACAGAAAATAAAGAAATATTGTTAATATATGCATAAATTTTGTTCTGTTGAGGTAATGATTTTGAGGAATATTTATGATTCTATAGCTAAGAATCAGTATTACTGCTGATTCCCATTTAGCGAATAAGCTTACAAACCAGAAATATTTATTTTGATGCTGTAAGAAATAAAAAGATGAATAAGTCATAGCCACAGTTGACTTAAGAGATTATCAAGAGGACAGAAGACATCCTGATAATGACAACTAATGTGATAAGTGCTATGAAATTTATTTAAAGAAAGTTTTAATCACAGGGGTAGACAAGTAGACTAGTAGAATGTGTTATAAAATACATAACTGAATCCATAAAGGCACAGAATCATGATATTATGAAAGAAGTGGCATTCTGGATCTGGCAAGGAAAGGATTTATTATTTAACAATGCCCGTGGGACAAGTATTTAGCCATATGGGAAAAAAATGAAATGCAATCCCTACCTCACACCATGCTCATAGTCATTTCCACATGGGTAAAATACTTAAATATGAAAAAGAAATTCTAAAAACTTTTAGAAGAAAATATTTTCTAAAAAATGTCTAAGACCTTAGGATGGGGAAGGTTTTCTTAAATGAAATTTTTAAAAAATTGATTAGAAAAGTATCAATTATGAATTCAACTTCAGCGTAATTAAAACTTTCTTTATCAGAGAAACTAAGAATTCTGAAGGGTGGCAAAACCTTAAAGAGTAAAAGCCAGCTTTGGTGCTCTTTCCTTTCCAGGTTCCTGTCAGGTCAGTGATAGGTTTTAAGATAAGGTTTAGTAAGAAATGATGGCTAACATTTTGTTTTAGTGGGAGGGGTTCAGTGGTCTTCTCCCACTGGGATATAAGCTTGGTTGTGTTCAGAACTGATTCTTAGCTCCTAGAATGATACATGGCAGGAGAGGAACATTCAGTAAATACTTGAATCAGTGAATGAATAAGCTTTAAGTTGCAGGCTACTGTTTTATTTAGTGAATACAGAGATTATATTTTGACCCTTTTTAATAATAAAAGATTATATTTTGACCCTTTTTAATCTTACATTTGATAATGTAAGATTAAGTTTCAAAATCTTTTTTTAGTTATTATATTTATCACAGCCCTGCCTCCAAATGCTGTTATAGAAATCCTTTTACTACTTCTGCTTTTAATTATAGCTCTGCATGTGAGTTACATTCACAGTTACCTACTACCAAAGCTGTTTTTGCGGGAATGGTTTGTCAGTGTTGTCTACCACTAGACACATTTTTGGAATTTTCATCAGGCTTTGATCTGCTCTGAAGACATGAAATATTATAAAGAAAAATAACAATGATAACTACCATAGGATTAGTTGCTCACCTTCTGAAATCTTTAAAATGAACAACAACAACACCGAAAAGCAGATGAGGAAGGAGAGGAGGGTCAGGCTGTAATGGTGGCCAACAGAATGCCAGCCAACCTGCTACCTCTCCCTTTGGATCTTCAAAGTCCAGGCCTGATTTTTTTGGTACCAGAATTAAGGTTTCCAATCGAGCCTTTCGGTTTGTGCCTTTAGATTTCAAGTGAAAAGGGAAATTTATTTCCAAAGTGCCAGCTATATTTCTTCAACATTCTACCAAGCCTACAT